TAACTCTAGAACGTGTAAGACGACAAAACGGATTACTGTAGTTCGATGCTATTCTTATTGTTGTCATTGTGTTAAAATATTTTTTACTGTATAAAGTGTGACTGTATAAAAACTAGTGCTTTAGTATAGTAGATACGCTACACAGATATAGATGTATTTTTGTATCAAATATAAGAATGGATGTGAAAATTCTCAGAGGCATTGGCTGGTTCGAAATACTCTTCAAGACAGCCTTCTCGTTACGAGCTTACATACTTGTGCAATGCTATTGAATTACAATCAACTTCAAGGACGTTCGGTAAAGCCGATATAAACCTCTCCAGCAATATTAGAAGATAAATCATTTTACAATTGTTTCTAGTTAAATCTAGCAAAAAACAAATCGGGTGCGATGTGTCGACGATTCTTTTTCTACGAGTGCACAACCAACGGCCACTGCAGCGTTCACCCGTTGATTTTGTCAAGTTTGTGATCGAAACGATAGGTACTTTCCTAGAGTTTCCTAGTTTATTCCCATTATCCGTTCGACTGCAAAGAAATACGCTACGGATTCTCTGAGTTATGAGACCTTCATTTTTTATTGGCCTTAGTTCTAAAGTTGCTGCCGTTTTTAATATAGCCACCAGAGCAAATAGATTTTAGACCTATCACTTGTCCAGAAAATCAAGCCCGCAAACATCTTCCAGCAACTCATCTGTATTCACTGAAATTGGTATAGATAAACTCAATCCAGAAATGACATCTCCAAATCAGATACTCAGCGTAATTCGTGTAAAATGTCGAATAAGCTTAACATGTTCTTTAAGGCCGCCTAAAATCGACAGATAACGGACATTGATTTTAACTTTTAACACAAGAGCGTTATCTACTGCAGTTAGTAAAAAAAACTCTCAAGCTGTGACCGCTCTTTGAGGCTATAATGTACTTAATAATAATAACCTTACAGAAAATACTCATCAATGTTTGTATCATCTGAAAAACGTTGTCAAGAAACGCTTTATTCTTTTTTATCTAAAATTTCCTTGTTACATTCCTTCATGATGGTACAAATCATGCACAACTTCACTTTCACTGACTTCAAGCTAGAAAGCTCTTAGTGTACGTGTGATTCCATTGAGACCAATGGAATAGATTGTGTACTTAGCTCAAGAACCCTGCTCAAGGAGAAGATTTCCAACAACGAACGCTTTTCGATTATGACGTACTTTTAATGTATCGTAGGCTGTGCTGCGAAGGAAATTATATAGCAGCACTGATAAATTGTTCTGCACAATCATTACACACTTCGGATTGAATTTCGACAATTTATTAAATTTATTTAAAGATTGCGGCATAGTATTTAGGTTTTCAGCAAAAAGTTAGGCCGTCACACTTCGGGTAAAGAAACAAATTATGTACTATAAAACCCCGAACCTTTGAGGCCACCTTAGGTGTTTTATAAGGAAATTGTGCATATCCATTGGCATTCTATCAGTGTAGTCAATTTTTCTGTAAATGTAGCAGTTTTTATAAATGAGAACAAAACGTTCCTATGGTTGTTCTGAAATTTGACAATTTTTTCCTAGATGTTGTTAGGTAGAGACGCTCACTAACGCTTTTCCAACCTTTTTAATGTACCATGTTCATTAGACGATAGATCATGGGGTTTAGTTCCTCGGATAGTTAGCCTTCAAGGTGATAAAAAGTTCTGCCTGTACAAATACTTTAATGGCATCGTTCGTTATAGTTTTGAATTAAGCACCTTATGGGGTGCGACGTCCAGTTTCACGTATCCTTTATTCAAATTTAAGACTTCAGGGTCTATCTCGCCAAGTGGGAGACTTGGTGCGGTGACGTGAGGCTGCATCGATCGTCATTGTTCTACCTGCTTTTTCCGAGCCATAACACGTTGATTGCCTTTGCTACTAGAACTGTAAAAGAGCCAAAACATTAGTTCTTGGTTCTTGACCAAACATAACAATCTTCAAAACCACTGATAACATAATCACCGATAATGAATTTCTAATCTATCGTACACATTAGATAATGTTATCGGTTGAAGTAGACTTTATTCAGTCGTAATGAGTCCCTGTGTGGCTTTTTGCATTACCGTTGACTGAAATTGGGTCAGTCTTGCCAGTGTGACAATGTTTGTAGTCGTTAAACCCCTTAAGGTTAATTATATTTGAATAAGAACCCTTGAATGCTTCACGTCGACGCTGTTACATCGAAGATATTTATATTTACACATTCTTAAATAGGCTGAAGTGTACATTAGCTGAAGATGACCAGCTACATGAGGCATGACTGTTTATGCTAATTCTATATAAATTATCTATAAACTATAGATAGCAAGCTTTACCATCATTGGAAATTTTTCGCTCTTCCCATGTACGTATCCGTTTGGTAGCTGTCTGGGTCATGTGCTGGTAATAATTTCCAAAGGAGTGCAATAGCCACGGTAGTAACAAGTGATTTCGCTAGAGGATCCAATGTGCGCGTTGAATAACATAACACTTGAGTGTGTTGAAATTCGCGCGAATTGAAAGTGGGCGGTTCAGGTAAAGGCGGTGGCTGTGATACCTGTTCTGTTTGTGTCGGTAAGGGATCCTTCAACAACTCGATAAGATGCATGGGTTTTTCTACGGGCGGCATCGAGAACTCCTTTGGGGGCTCTAAAGGACATCTCATCGTGGGTCCTGGCCTCGCGGGACTTGGCTGCGCCAGTTCATCTTCAGATGACGCTCGTACTTCCATTTGTTGCTTCCGTACTAAATCACTCAGCTCAAAGCGTTTATCATTTACGCTTCGTAAAGGATTGTAGTCAAAAAGTTTCTCAAATGGTACAAACAGAGCGGGTGGTAACAGAGTACTCGAGTCTCTGTTATCCAGTGTCTGCTGGAAGTAATCCGTGGGTATGTATTCGAGTGGGACGGTCTGCGTCGAGGCGTCGCACGTGCTTCTTTCACTCCATGTTGAATCCCGTGTAAAACGTAGTCCTAAAAGCATAATCGTGTTGTAGGATTTTGTAACTGGTAATCGGTCAGTCAAGGTTTGTGAAAATGTTTAAAGATATTGTTGAATTGCATATCGTTATTTTCGAATGTTGGATTATCGTAGGATCCGCGTATCAATATGGCATATTTTTCCTAGAGCTACTTTCAAGTAATCTATGATTTTCTTTACTTCCTCAGGCATGTAATAATATAATAATAATAAAGCGTGTAATAACAGCGGGGTTTGAATCTGTGACCGGTGGTCTTGTTTTGCGTTCAAATTAGCAAGCTTGTCATGCAGAAAAGTCTATTGTAGAGTTCAATGCTTCGAAATCCTTTTCCAGTGCCTGATTTGTTCTGTATGGCGATCAGGCGTAACTATACTTAGTATAGTTCCTATTCAGAAATTATTACTGGAAAACAAAGAGTAGGTACCAACGTATATAATATATTATGATAGGAGCGTTTAAGCAGCAGTGTTTCGGTATCTGATTTAATCCGAACTAATAATGCAATACTAGTAATTTAATACTAAGATTATATCTTTAGAGCAAAAATGTTTAGTTCTTGTTTAGACACAAGCCAAGAATAGCCAAGAAGCAAGTGAATATCAGTCTGTATATGCAGGGTGTGTACCCGAGTCCTGATGTATTTTAGGAGAGGAAAAAGTCCTATCAGTATCAGTCAGAGGAACACACGTAAGGATACGAATGGCTTCCTCAGCAGCAGCCCTAAGAGGCTGAAAACAGCTCTGAAACGGTCCTGGTTGAAAGTCGGCCAATGGAGATTCAGTAAGATCGTTTGGAATAAATCGAGACAATGTTGCTTATTTACAAGTATCAAGAGGTGAACATGAAAACATATTTAGATGCATTTTTTACATACGTCAAAAAAAAACGGAAGCGATGCTGGTACAGTTAAGCTGGTTAAAAAGTCCCTCAAACACGACCGATTGAAAAATCAGCGGGCTGAAAGTTTAAATTGAGTGCAAGCCGAAAGCCAAAAGTTTATAAAATGGTGTAAAAACACAAAAAAGACGAGTCGTTAAGACAAATTAAGATCATCCAGTCTTTTTTTTGTGTTTGAACTTTTGACATTTGTATCTGTTTGATACGTTTTCAAGCGTTCGGGATCTACCTTTTTGACCTGTTTCATGTAACTTGTGTGCTTTGAAATCTGCCTGAAGAATGGTTGCAGTTGCATTGATGGTTTATGTCGGAATTTGTGTTGGGTTTATATGTATTATACAAAGAGTTCGCTTAGTGTGAAGCGATTATACAGAAGCTGATCTAGATTTGGTCATCTTTGCTTATTCTGCTAGAATTATGGAACAGAAACGTTGAAATGGTTTTGTATCCTGGCCGATGACATTTTCCCTTCCTGCGTGCACTCTTAAACGTCATCTATTATGAGCAACAGTGTTATAATTTTGGTAATTTTTTAGTGATTTTACTATAATTCATACCAATATCACACTGGAAAGAGGAGCTTTGAGGCACGTATTCTTCTCCTGAGTTGAAAACAGATTCCTGTTTTCATTTGCTACTTCGTTCAGACATACTCACGTAATTCATATATATATTTATATAGGCGCGAATGCGATTTGTTCATTCGTGCAACACTTCGTTTTTATACACAATAGCGAAAGAAATACCTAGGATTAAATTTATTAGCAGGTGCCGCAACATAGGGCCACGTTACCTACATACGCAGTCTAGTATCGTCCATGCTCTGGGTTGGTTCTTCCTTGAAAGTTTGCTTAAGTTGAATCGGCTGCTTCGGCGAGACCCGTCACGCTCGGAGTTCCGTATTCCGCTCGCCTATTTAATTTCAGGTTTTCTTCAACGGAAGCGCACCCTGGAATGCACAGGTTCGGCCTACTAAATTTTGAATTTCAGAAAACCTCACACCAAGCC